TATAGAAATTTTAATGATATTGAGCTTGATTTCTAAATTTGATGGTAATCCGTATAATTCTGTTGACAAATTCATTGAAAACTTTCACGATGTATCTAATTTGTTAAAACTAAATGAATTACAGAAACTGATATTTGCCAAAAGATCTTTAACTGGCAAAGCAAATTATTTATTGAAAGTGAAACGAAAATTAATTAGTGGAATGCATTTAAGGCTCTATTAGTAAATGAATTTGGTATTCAGTATAACTTTGCTCAGTTACACGAATCCTTATCGAAACGTAAAATGCAGCAAAAAGAATCTCTATATGAATATTTTTTTGATAATTAAAAATATGTGTTCTAAAGGTAATATTGAAAACGCCGCTTTATTTGAATATGTTATTAAAGGTATAAACGATTCTGCATTTGATAAAGCTATTCTTTATGGTTGTAAAACTTTGGCAGAATTTCAAGAAAAACTTAAAATATATGAAAAAATTAAATTAGATAATGATAAAAATAAATCCATTAAGCCTAATTCTAAAACCAGAAGCGACCATTTTGAAAGTAAAATAAAAACAAATATTCGTTGCTATAACTGCGGAAATCTTGGTCACGCGGAGAATTTTTGCAAAAATAAGAGCAAGGGAAAAAAATGCTTTCGTTGTAATTTATATTTGGACAGAATATAGCCGCAGAATGTCCAAAAAATAAGACGAATATAAAAGATCTTGCCAGAGTGAATCATATATTTGTAAAGAAGCAGTTAAATGATAAACTGCATAAAACTGTATCGATAGATAATGTAGAAGTAAAAGCTCTGATTGATACAGGAAGTGATATAAAATATAGTATCGGAAAATATTTATATAAAGTAATTGGTTCACCTAATATTAATTCTTCCGACTTGATTCTAGTAGGCTTTGGTAATAATAAAGTAAAGCCTATTGGTTATTTTGAAAGTTTCGTACGAATTGATGATTGTGAAATTAAATCAAATATTTATATTGTACCTTAAGGAACAATGAAAGAAAATGCTGTTATAGGAAATGAATTGCTTTCGCAAATGGAAATTATTATAAACAAGAACGGCATATCTATGAAAGTAGTAGAAGATGAAAATGAATCGAATTTAATGTATATAAGTGTTGATCAAGAAAATAGATTAGATAATTGTTCGGATATTAATAAAGCATGTAAGTCCAAAGTAAAACACTTAATTGAAAACCACATTCCTAATAAAACTGAAAACCCTATAGAAGAAACAGATGCAGTTGAAGATTAATTAAAGGAAGAGGGGTCTCAGAAAGAAGAAAGATGTTAAAAGCGGGAAAAGAAAATTGCAAAATGTAGAGGAAGAGAAGAACTCCATTCCTAAAGGAAGAAGAAAAAACCCACCTACGAATGTTCAGCAGGTCAAAAAGAGTAATGAAAGAATTAATGAATCAAAAAAACTCACTTCAGGGCCAAAGAGTTCTAGAAAAAGAAAGAATTCAGAATCTGAGAAACTAGTTGAATATAATGCTGGTGAAACAGAAATATCAACAGTAAGAAAGAGTAAACAGCAAGAGAAACTTCCAGCTAAAGAACTGGATCCTGGTATGTCTGAAAAACTTAAAGGAACACAAGCCAAAGGAAAATCTACTAATACCGAAATGCATGTTATTTTAAAAGATGACCAACCTATTTCTTCGAGACCCAGACGTTTACCAATTATAGACAAAGAAAATGTCCACCTAATACGGGAAAAAGCTATTTTACAAATGGATTTGAATGCTAGATCTTTGGAAAGAAAACTTTCTGTATCAGAACAGACTGTAGAAATGTTACAGAAGCAGCTATCAGAAGCAAAGAATGAAGTAGAAGCTGCAAAATTTCAGAGGAGAACCAAAGATAAAATCCTGTCTGAGAAATAAAATGAAGTTCAAAATGTTAAATTGAACATGCAAGAAATGCTAGCTTTAGAAAGAGATTGCATAAGGGAAATTATGGTGAAGAGATTATTTGCTAAACAAGCAGAACTGAAAAGAAAAATATGTATCACTGATGAAAAATTTCGTCAGTTGCGAGAAATTCTTGATGCTGATGATTGGGAACATTATGGAGACCTAGGTGATGCTGATGCTGTTCCAACAACATTTTCTAGTGCAACTTCAACTTACGAATCAACTAAAGCTAAGACAAGGACATATATGAGACGTAAATCTTTCTTTGAAGAACCTTCGGTCCCCAAAACAAGATTCCCTAAAGCAATATCAGTTAATGTAAATTAAATTACTTTTATTTCAGTCAATGTTATTTTTAAGATGAAAAGAAGTTTTCCAAAAATGTTAAAGATTGAAGATATTTTTCGACTTAAATGGAAATTTCTGAAAAATAGAAGGGACTGTTGACGATGTTATTGTTGCAAAGATGAAGGACAATTAAAATGTTTCCTTTCAATTTTGTCCTTAGCGCACAATTTTCCCCTCTCCCTTCGTATTTCTTTTCAGGTTTCGGCTTATTCCTGATGATGGTTCTTTTACCGAAGACAACGATTATGTAAGATGACCAATGATTTATGATGCCAAGAGTAGAATAATGTCGTCGAGGTCGACGCATAGCAGGAAGGCCGAATGTGGGATTTTAAATCCATAATTTTAAATCCTTAATATTTTTCCTCGCGCGCTGTCTAAATTTTAGCTGTTGACTGCACGAGTGAAATTGATAGCACTCTCGACACTTTGTTTTATGAGATATAAGATGTTGTTTTATAGATGTAAGATGATATAGATATTGTATTAATAGATGAACGGTCTTATAGATGTATTAATGTTTTATTAAATGTGTTTTGTTTGAATATGAATTGTGATTTTGAAACTAATGAACCCACATATATATATTAAAAAGGAAAGGTCGGAACTAAAATGAAAAATTATTATTTCATCTTTATGAACGCCCTGATCAATTTTTTCCAGGAAAGGAGTAACCAAAAGCAGTACATTTAAAAAGACAGGAAAACATGTATTAATCTCCTCTGTTCAAACGCTTCAAACAGAACTTGTCAAGGAAAAACTGTTTTGAAGCCTTAAACCTTGTTCATTAATTAGTTCCAAATATATGTTTCGTTCCTTTGAATCATTTGATAATCAAAACCGTTTTAATAGAATCAAATCTGCACTTTAAAACCAACATGTTAGTGGTTCTGAATTGCTCAGTTCTTTTCCCTACATGCATTCACAACCAAATAACACCAAAAACAGTATACCAATGGTAAAAACCAAAAATAAAATCATAATAACATTTTGGCAAAAACCTGAAAAATCAAAATGCCTAACAACTTAAAAAGGCCAAACAAACTAATTACAATCATTTACATCTAGAAGAAAATCCTCAAGAATATTAGTAACAAAATATTTTCGAAATTTAAAAACATATTAAGTCTAGTTATTTAAAGCCTTAAAGTTACTCAAAATTATTTATCTTAAATATCCCTCAATGAAGGTAGATATTTTCCTTCTTTATTTCTTTTATTCAAAAAAGGGAATCTACGTCTTGCCTTATGTATTTACGTTTTTATATTGATAAAGTATGAGATAAATGAACGTGCGGATTCGTTTAATCCGTCTAGCAATTTATGAAACTGATCCAGGAATAACCGTTAATAAAAACTTTTGCACTGTTTCGGCCCATATTAAATATGGATGCAACGAGACCAAACTTCGCACCTTGTGTCTCGTTGTTCACTAGTAACGTTTTGAATAAAATTAAATTAAAAACACCTCTAATAATACCCCTAATAATACGGTAGATTTTATTTTGAAGCATCATTATTTCGTCTTTTTATACTATTCCAAAGGGCAGTTTATGCGTTAGGTCTGCTGCGACAAACTGTAGGCGATTTCGCCGCCCTCCATATTCCATTAATAGACACTGGAATTCTTTTTATGGCTAAGCAAAGGGCAGTAAGAGCTATAAGTCAAATTAATAGGCGAATAATAGGGAATTACAAATGTCAATACCATGGCGCTTTCTGTGCAGCTCATTATTACAAGCTTGAATTAGCTTTAATACATTAGTTAAAACAATAAATTTTAATTTCAGAAAACAATATGTAAACTGTTGCAATATATCAGCATTTTAGAGAATTAATAAATGCAAGTATTTTTGTCTTATTTCAGGTGCATTCTTTACCAAACAAAATTATTTTGATGCTTCTTGATATATTCCAAAGTTAAAAATCAAAATTTTTTAAAGCATTTTTAAATTTTTTGTAATTTTTTAAGAAAATTCTTAAGCAGGATATCATTTAACGTGCCGCGGATAAAAGATGGAGGATTCTGGAGGAAGAAACAACTTTCATTCCCAGTTTTCCAAGAAAGACAGAAGTAGCTCTATTTAGACGTCTGATCGGACATGACAGTTTGCGAGATCACCTCTACAGAATTGGAGTGGTGGATTCCTCAAACTGTATTTTGTGCGCGTCCAATCAGTCTATGATTTTTGAACATTTAAATAATTGTATTGCACTTTCTGGGTATGAGAACATTGTTAAAAAGTACTGGAGAGCCCGTGAATAATGGCTTAAGCGCTAATATTTAGCATTTGTAAAATAAAAATTTTTGTACTTTCTAACTTCGCGTCCCTTCTAGGTGTTCACTTACTTCAGCCTTGTCTCAGCTGTAATAAATCAACACTTTAATAATTACACCGCTACAATATGGCCAGGGGAATGCAATATTTCCTTATTCACAAAATATTCTGAAGGAGCTAAAACTGAATTTTATTTACAGAAACGTTTCTGCAAATCCCAGGTATGTCTTGCCCTTAACTAACAAGTTTGGCTTCTTATGCCTTTTCTTGTCATAATAGCTTAATTTGCATATTCCTGAAAAGAATAATAAGTTTCAGAAAAGTAAAGAACGATCGAAGAGAGGAACGAAAATTTACCTCGTTAATTACATACGAAATAAAATCTTTCAGGTGCATTACTTTTAATTAGAAATGAAGAATAAACGTTTTCTACTGATACTTTCCTTACTACTGACCTTCAAGTTCAAAACAGGCTTTTCTAAAAAAATAAGAATTTTAAAAATTAGCTTATAAAGTTAGTTACTCAATATTTTAAGACTAAGTAATTATAATCAGATTAATTATTAAGGTACCATAACGATGACTGAAATTATAGACTCATATGGAAAAAAGGAAGACCTTTTTATGAAGACATTGATAGTATTAGAACACCTAAAAGCAATAAGAATAGAAAACAATTATTGTGAGAGAGAAGTTTCAAGATTAGTTAAAATTACACGAATAAATTAAAGTTTCTTAAAAGCTAAATTTAGATTTTAATTGTTCCATATATTTAAATTTATTCTTTATATCCACAATACTACTATCAAGTACCGAATTTTAAAATCAGACGAATTGTTTATGCATTGAACTACCGTAAATATTGATTTAAGTTTTAATTTTTTCTATTTAATACACATAAACTTCTCTATCTTAATGATGTTATTATAAGGACCAAATGAATATTTTTCAAGAATCAAGTGTCTTCGAAGAATAATGGAATGTATAGCTCCTCAAATATGTCACAAAAATCATAATTGGATACAGTTTAGGATTCTCAGATCTTTCCACATTCTGTTCTCATAAAATTATCTTTATTTTGTTGTAGTCTTTCAAATACTGTTTTCTGTTCTCTCAAACCACTTCTGATCCTCAAAATCACGTCCGAAACTAAACATTACGTTCGCAGTTAAGAATACTATTCTTTTTTGCATGACAAGCATTTTCCAACTGGTTAGGTAACCTATAAAATCATATTTTTTATGAATTTCAAATTCTTCAATGCACTGTTATAATACATTAGGCTTCTGATTTTTCTTTCTTTTCCATGCATGAATAATCAGGACGTAAGTTTCTTACGTTAAACTAACAATTATTATGATTTTGATCTTTACTTTAACATCTTTCTTTTCCTATTCCTCACCAGAATGCAAATTAGTTTCTAATATATTAATGTACTTAAGCTTAGGGTTTCAGATCTTAGACAGACAGTGTGTGTATATGTTTCTGCCACTAGCATAGTGTTGTTAAAATTCTACCAGCTCCATTTAAATGTCATTAACTTGGTTTTGCGTACTCTGGCAACCGATACTTTAAATTTAAGCGCTGGTAAATTATTTGAGCCAGCTTGTAGCTTAGTTATTTAACTGTGTAGACTTAGACTAATGAATCAATGTTTAAATCGTTTTACTGTTATTATTCAATTTGCATCGCCACAAGTGGTGGTTATCTGTAGCGCAAACCATGTCTTGTTTGTTAAAAGTTTCATAAGCAAATTGTTTAAACATTTCTTTGTCATGCTATTTTAGACATGGCGATAACTTGCTAGTAGTCTAGTAAGGTTATAGAACTTATGTTCCAGTGTCCGATCACGTATAATTCTGGTGGTGAGGAATTTTTGTTCACCACCCTTTTAGTTCGAGTACCACTGTAGAGTCATTAGGTTTTTTGATGCTACAGACGTGAAAATGTGCAGTGTCCTCGCCGGGATTTTTATCTCCGGACAAAACGTCGTCAAATGTTCGCCATGTTTGGCGACGTTTGGAGATATCTTGCTAAATTTGGCGACAAAATTAGTCCCGCAAATCTTTGCCAGCTTGGCGATATCTCGCCAATCTAGAGAGACAGCCATTTACTCAGTGTTAAATACCCTTCCTCCTGTATTGTTACTTTACCGGCACCTTGAACCTGAGAAACCTTTACCTTGAAACTAAGAAACTAACGAAAGAATTGCAGCAAAATGAAAGGAATTTTGCAAGAGGACTTATACAGCATTATAGTTGAAATGTGCATATAACAAAAGAGAAACTTGATGATAAAAAAATAATATATGGACTGCTTACAAATAAAGAGAAATTACAAAAGAAAGAAATTCATTAGAGAAAATTCTCCAACTGAAATTTATGTAATAAATTATGATAATAATGTGAATACAATTATTGTATAGACTTTATTTGTAAATGAGCCACAATATATGGAAATGTAAAAATTTTAGAATTATTAATAAATACTAGACAAGGGCGGGCGTGGGCAGAACCGATTAATCGTAATGGTAGAGGGAATGGTGCCCACGTCCTCCGTTACTACTATTACTACTACTACCACTTTTCCGGCAAAGTATCGCCTCATTAGATTTTCTTGTCTTCATTATAGGAAAAAAAATGCTACAGTTTCCCATATAATTTCACTAAAATTGTTTACTTAGATACAAAATTCGAAACAATATTAAATGATGAGAAACGATCTTAAATTCTTAGTGCAGATTGCAACATTTATCTAAAAATGATCTAAAATTACCTAGTTTGTATTTCTCAATTAATATGTCTCAGAATTTATATTATGAATATATCCTAAGCATACAGTGTTGAATATTGAAATTAAATTTAATTTGTCATTCATAAGATATCATTGCATAAACGTAAAAACTGTTGGAGAATAAAAATACCATTAATAAGTTTGTGGAGAGATAGAAAAGAAATATTTCACTGTATTTGATTAATTTACGTCTAAAATCTTAGATCTTGTTACAAAAAATCCTCTTATGCTAAATTTTTAACCTCTGGAGCAAATAAACTAATCATTTGAAAAATTCCCGATACAAATTTATTTTTTCCCGCAGCAATATTGTTTTACATTATTTTACATTGAATGCAAAATATAAGCATTATAAGATTAGAACTTTCACGATCAGATATTATTCAGATCTTTCACGGAGTTGGAACCCGTATCATAAAGTAGATAGAATATTGCCTATACTGAAGAACTTGGAAAGTCCATGATGTCTCATGACGTGAGAGTATTGCTATGTTATTTCTTATGTAAACAGAGTTTTCTTTTCTGAGATATAGTAGCAACTCTAGAAACTGCCCTAAAATAGGAATAGCCATTTCTAGCATCTGCGATGGTTTATCACCTCACTGAAAACATAGGCGATGGCTGTAAAGTTTGCATACAGGTCCGTGGTGGTTAAAACATGTAATCACAAAACTGGAATTCCACATAGTATTTAAAATTTGAACTACACAAAGCAGTGTAAATTCACAGCATTCAGCATGTGACAACACTTTGAACATCCTACGTTGCCCTAAGGTTTCTTCCTTAACTTCTATTTTATTTACATAGCTGAATTTTAAGTTGAGATGAAAGCTTTTCAGAGACCTTTATAACAGTGTCTTCCAAACTTTAACTTGACGCGAGCTAACTTAGAATTTGAAAGAAGAAATTTGGTGATCCATAATTATATATTACAATTTTAATATTTCAATTGTATATGTACACTGATGTGCAAAACTTAAGCAACAGCAGGTTTTTTGCCATAACTCCACGAAAAATCAACTGAGAGACATGAAATGCAGAAATGAAGGAGAGTATTATGTACGTAAAGGATGCCGAAAGCATCGGAGCTGAAAAAGGAATACAATGCATACGGTATGGAATCAAACAAAAACAAGCTTTATTGAACGCACAGTATCGTGACTCATGATTGTCTATCCAAGGGGAAGAACAACAAGCAGATGTTCCTTAATATGGGATATGCCCTCCCCTCGCTACAATGGTTGCTTCGCACCGTAACCAGCTGGAGCAAGATTTCTTGCAGTAGGAGTGCCCATTCCTCAATCAGCATCTGTTTGGCTTGTTGGGTGTTCTCCGGAAGATGTAAGCGTGCTGCAATGCGTCTCCCCAAAGCATCCCACACATGTTCGATGGGATTTAAATCTGGGGAGTACGCTGGCCAATCCATTCGAGTGATATCTTCACTTTCCAGTAACAACAAGAGTCCGATGTCCTCAACAGCAAGAGTCCGATGTGGCCGTGCATTGTCATCCATAAAAATTAAGTCTGGGCCAATGGCACCTCGGAACAGACGCACATGGGAAAGGAGTACCTCCTCACAATAGCGATTCCCGGTTACAGACCCTCTGTCGAAAACGTGGAGCTCAGTTTGCCCGTTCAGCATAATGCCTCCCCAGACAAGAACTCCAGGACCCCCGTTACGGTGTCTTTCGTTGATGTTACTGGAATAAAACCGGGTTCCGACATCTCTCCAAATCAAAACGCGTTGAGAATCGCTTCTGGTACTGAACAGACTCTCATCCGTAAAGAGGACACGACTCCATTGATCAGTTGTCCAGTTTTTGTGCTCTCTGAACCACTGTAAACGGTGGCGTCGGTGGCGAACTTTCAACGGGAGACAGCGTTCAGGATTGCGGGCGAATAGGCACCCTTTGTGAAGGGGTCTGGCCACAGTAAACCGCGACACTTGTCCCCCGTTGCTGTACAGAGTTGCTGAGCAATGGCGCTTGCTTACTGCTGTCGGCCTCTTTTCGCCTGCAGGACGATATATCGGTTATTAACTGCAGTTGTCGTCCTCGGGCGGCCACCACCAACCTTTCTAACAGTTGTATTTATGAGGTTTAACAGTTGTATTTTCTATGAGGTTTGGAACGCTTTCCAAGCGCGCAAAACGACACTTTTGTTGATTCCGAACTCTGCAGCTACACTGGTGACAGTACGTCCTTCCTCCAGCTTTCCGATCATTCTTCCAGGTGTGAAGTCGTCCAGGTGATTTTTTCCAGCCATATTTCACGAACTGGTGAGCTGGCACTTGCAACGAATATGTTGAATTGCGTCTCCGTCCTTCCGTTTTATTCTGTCCTGTTGAGCTGCGCGCGCGCAGACATCACGCATTTTGTGTACGCTCACGTTCGCATCTGACGTTTCGTTCCTGATATTTGCATAAGCATGACGATTTCTACTTGACATACGTGTTCATTGTACTGATCTCCAGACCTCCTTTTCTGCAATTTCATGGCTATCTGCTAAATTTTTACATTGTTGCTTAAGTTTTGCACACCATTTTATATAATATACACAAACTATAAAAATGCGTGGTATAATACATAGACTGGCCAATGAATTAGAAACATAACATCAATATTTTATTGGACCACCTTTTGCATGGATAACTGCTCTGAATAGTTTGGGCATCGAGTCTACGTG